TATAATAACAATTGAAAATGACAATAATAATATTATTAAAATAATAATAATAAAATTAAAAATAATATTAATAAATAATAATAATAATAATATTAATCTGGCTTTGCTGATTTTGTTAATAATTTGTTTGTGTCGCCCTAAGCCCGAAGCCCCAATATTGCATGCAAGTAGAAGAAATAAAAAACAAAAGAAATAAATGAAGAAATGTAAATAAATAATTAAATAATTAATTTAATAATTAATTAATTAATTTAATAATTAATTAATTAATTATCTAATTAATTATTTAATATATATTTCGTCTGCATGCAGAGGGAATGCCCCACCGACCCCAACACCCCGAAAGGCGAAAGGCTGTGAATTTTGTATTTGTTTGTATAAATTGTTTGTAAAAATATAAAATTTAATATTTTATTTTTATTTATTTGTTTTTTATTTGTTTTTTCTGCTGTTTTTATGTCTCTTTCTCCCCAGCCCTTACCTCTACCTCCTACCTTCTTGGAGGCCTCTCCGTCATGGGTATAACGAATCTGCTGGTACATTTATTTATTTATTTTATTTATTTTATTTATTTTATTTTATTTATTTACTTCTTAATACACTTTAAATAAAGAAGCAGTCATATAAACATAAAGTTGTTTATATATATTATAAATAGTTGTATATACACTGTGTTGTTTATCTCCTTATTCATGTCTTCGTTGTCTTCCTCTTACTTTTGCTTTGTTTAAGGCCTTAAGAGCATTAAAAATTTATTTTTTTTGTATTTGTTTGTTTGTTTTGTTGCTCTCTCTTTGCCTACTGTTTCCTTTGTTTCTTTTGTCTCCTTTTTGCTTTTTTATCAGCCATTTGCGTTTCTTTATCTCATCTGCATTTATATATATATCTCTCTCTCTATCTCTCTCTACTTTTAATCCTTTTGTATATATATATCCCTCTCTATCTTCTCCTTTGTTGTTTATACCTCCCTGTTTGTCTATCTATATATATATATACATGTATGTGTTTATAAACATTTGTTTATTTCTTTTGCTTGTATTTTAATCTCTATACTTTATTTGTTTTTCTGTTGTTTTTGCTGTTTATCTTTATTTGTCTGTCTTTTATTTTTGTTATTTGCAGCAATTCCTCAAGCCCATCACATATCCCGGCCATGTGGAAGAGTAAACACCCCCTAAACCCTAAACCCTAAACCCTAAACCCCAAACCCTAAACCCTAAACCCTAGCAACACCCCTGCTGGCTTTGCCTTTGATATATTTGATAATGTCTTCTCCTTTAAACGTAAATTTGTTCAGCGATTTGCAGCATAAACTACAAACCCTAAACAACAAAAAAATCACTTCCTTTTCCCGTTGCTGCTGTTGCTGCTTCTGCTGTTGCTGCTGCTGCTGTTGCTGCTGCTGCTGCTGCTGCTGCTTCTGTTGCTGCTGTTGCTGTTGCTGTTGTTGCTGTTGCTGCTGTTTCTGCTGCTCTTGCTGTTGCTTCTCTTGCTGGTACTGCTCCTGCCGCTGATCTTGCTCCTTCTGCTGCTGCTGCTGCTCTTGCCGCTGCTGCTGCTGCTGCTCTTGTTGCTGCTGCTGCTGCTGTTTGCATGCAGGTGCAGGGGACAGGTTGTGGGTGTGGATGCGATGTGCTGGATGCACCGTGGGGCTGCTGCATGCGCTGTTGAGTTAGTAGAAGGAAGAGACACAGACAAGTAAAAGAATAAATAAATAAATAAATAAATAAATAAAAGTATATTGTCCTGTCTTTTCTTTTCCTGTCTTTGCTTTGTTATTTATTTTCTTTTGATGTTTCTCTTTGTCTTGTTCAGGGCTTTTCTCCCTTTTATTTATTTATTTATTTATTTATTTATATGTTTATTTGTTTTGTCTGTTTTATTTATTTATTTATTTACTTGTTAGTTTTGTCCTGTTTTAATTGTCCGTTTGCATGAATTTAATTTGCTGTCTCCGTTTGTCTTTGTCTTTGTTTATTTGAATTTTATTTATTTTTATTTATTTTTATTTATTTTTATTTATTTTTATTTATTAGGTTTCTGCGGTTTTTTATTTCTATGGTCTCTCTGCTGCGTTTCTACGGCGTTATTCCTTTGATTGGTGAGGGGGCGGCAATGTTTATAAAGTCTATATAATATTAATATATATATAATATAATATTATATAATATAATATATATATTTATATTATATTATATTGTATTATATTATATTATAT